TTTTCAAAAAATCTATCTTTTGAGAGGGGTTGCGACCCCCTACCCCCAATGAGGCACGTAGGGTCCATCCAAAACACTGCACATAGAGGGCGCTGCGATCATTTTCGGCGGAGTTATTTGATTTTTAAGATGTGCGTGTTCTCTGAGGAGCCATGTTATCGTAAATGTAGGAAAAATCCACGACGTTGAAGGAAAAAGAAAATAACCACAAAAACAGCGATAAAGACGCTTGATTTCAAAATTACAGAGATGAACTACGACAAAACAGCTTTATCAGGGAAGAAAGTTACATAAAGTGTAAAATAATAATGACTCAATGATTTGAACTTTTGACTTCAAGTGTCTTTATCGGCATTCAAAAACGCGACCATTGATATACATGTGTGACAACAAATACGGTGTGTTTCATGTGCAAAAAGTCCTGCGTAGTGTTTTGGATTCGTCTCGAAAAGACCTTTCAAATGAGCTCCCACTTGACCTATGTTACTATTTAATATTTTCGACCCCCCTCGTGCCCCACGTGCCCCATTGGGAGCGGGGGGTCGCAACCTCTCTCAAAAGATAGATTTTTTGAAAAATCGTTTCACGTGTTTCGGCGTTTTTTCAAAAAAAATTTTTTTTTTCAAGTTATTCACCCGGTCCGGGACTTTTTGAACACCCTGTATACAAGAATAATTAACTTCAACTGTGTGTTAAAAAAATCATACATTTTGAACTAATCACAAATGTATTTTTAATCGAATTCTAAGATAAAAAATATTTTTTTGTTTATTGTTCGTACTTCTTATATGTGTCTTTATGTTTGATTAATTATAACAATTATGATTTTTTTACAGGCACGTCTACCTACAACTATGCCGTATATCTCGCAAACTAAACAAAATATTCAAAATATCAATGTTATTTCAAATGTTATGGTTCTTTTTAGAAACTACATATTGCAGTATCGATATGTATTTTCAACTTCAAATTATGAAGTATAGAATTCAGGACATATGGACATTTAAATATAATTTCGAACATATATTCGGATATTCTGTTTCCATTCTGAATAACATCTTATTTCTCACATTAAACTACATATGTCAAACTATTTACTATAAGGTAAAATTAAAGCATTACTAAATACAATATTTATAATTAGAATTATAAGCAACAATTTTACAACATTAAAATTATACATACCGAAGTTTTTATCCAAATGACGCAACCTCTTGGATGCAAAATTTTCAATTTTATTTAAAAGATTCATATTATTTTAAACCAATTTCAGACAAACAAGACAATAGCAATTCTTCACAAATTGTCCAATTATAATCTCGATGAGGAGTTACGCAAACAGGTAAATAAATTATAACAAGATTTCATATAGAATTTTAACTATTCTGTATATATTTTACTAGCTCCCATGGAAATCCGGACGTTTGCATAAATTTCATCAAACGATTATGTAAAAAATTGGGATATTATAAAACAGCAATTGTGTTTATATACGCTAGGATACTTGTATACACATACTAACGCCATATTTAGGATAGAAAAAGTTGATAATTATTTAGAATACGATTCTCATTTCCTATTTTGATAAAATTATAGGCTCATTCGATGCGTTTTTGCACAAAACGAAAGAACCTGTAAGAAAAAACCATTAGGATGGCCTCGCGAACCAAGATATTAAGCGTTAAAGTTGACGACTATATATAGAGGTTAGGAAATCCATCATATCGATGAGATACAGGAACAAATTCTCTGTTTGACAAACAAATTCTCTGCTTGACAAACAAATTGTCTGCTTTAAAAATAAATTTTCTGCTTTACAAACACAAATTTTGAGAAATTATTATCAACTTTAACGCTTAATTGCTTAATATCTCAGTTCGTGGGGGCGTCCTAACGTTTTTTCTTATAGATTCTTTCGTTTTGTGCAAAAACGCGTCGAATAAGCTTAATTTTATCAAAATCGGAGGCGAGGATCATATTCTAAATAATTACCAAAAAGTTTTATTTATCATTTTTTAAATAGAGAATATTTTATAAAACCTTTGCAATTGATTAGTGTTAATATGTACAAGTAATCTAAAACATATAAAAGAATATACTATTAAAATTCATAATAATAAATTATATCCAATTTGACTTATTTTCAATCATTTCTATATAGATCGCCACTAACTTTTTTCAATATGTCGTTAACTTAACTGAAGTAATGCAATTAATTCAAGTATATTAAATTTGGATGTATTAAATTTGTCTAAAATTATTTATTAATACGAATGCTATTTACTCTGAAACTGAAAAATGAATTGATTTTGATACATATTGAAATTAAAAAACAAAAGGTTATATTTAACTTAAGGGATAGAGGTGCTTTTTTGATATTTAACGATGTAATATAGTTGATGTTTTATAACAGTGCCTTAATAATTTTTTATAATGTGATTTAATAGAATCTATGCGTATATTCGAATTTTCATGAAGAGAAGTTTAAATCTAGCGTTTCATTCTATTATTTAATTTCAATTAGATTTTACAATTTATATTGCAAATAAAACTCAGGGAAGTAAAATTTGGCATAGGACAGTTTCACTATGGATATGATTTCATTTACCAGGTATGTCTCATATTGAATAAAATATAAGAATATAATAAACGTATACATATAATAAAACAAACACTTCTATATTCAACCTTGGAAATTACATAAATATCTAAATGGCAACATTATAGTGGAATCACTTCTGAATTAACTGCATTTGTTTATTTTTTATTGTTATCTTATATATAAAAATTTTCTTTTACATTCATTATTCTAAATAATAATTTAACACAAATATTTTCATTAAATATAATGAGAGTATATTTCTTCAGATGTACAGTGCAGTTTTGGCCTTCCTGATAATTTTAATACAGGTACATAATCTATAACATATTGCAACAAGAAAAATCTCTCAAAAGTACGATAATACATTTCCTGAAAATTTCTTTGCACTGAACGCGATATTATATTGATATTATATCGTTAGCAGAATTTGCCTAGCAAATTCAACAACAGGATTTAAGTAAATTGAAATGAAATAGATCAAAAATTGCATCTTTGGTCACTTTTAACATTTTATGTTAAATAAACACAACACCATCTGAAAATATAATTTAAGAGCTTTCGAGTTGTGGTACATGAGAGAGAGAGAGAGAGAGAGAGAGAGAGAGAGAGAGAGAGAGAGAGAGAGAGAGAGAGAGAGAGAGATCATACGATATATTTTTTTTAAAGTTATGGCTATTTGAATTTTAAACCTTTTGTAAAATTTCGAAGTAGTGTATATATTTATATGTCGTTTTTAGCTCCTTTGTTCCAATTTATTCAAAATCCTGACGTGTTAGATAAATTCTGCTAAGGGCATCGTGTTCAACGCAAAAAAAAAATCTTTGAGAAATATACTATCACACTTAGAAGAGAAAAAAAAAATTATTTTTGTCACACTGTGTAACAGATCTTTTATTCTCTTTAATGTATGAAAAAAATGGTTTGATTCTGTTTTGATATCAATGTATATAATTAAATGCATTTTGATTAAATAGTATTTTAAGTTGTTATGACAATTTCGAGATTTTACAAGTACATAAAATATTTGATATTCTACTATATTTTATAAAGATTATACTATTATAAAGCTTTTTTAAATATTTTTCAGTTCGATATAGTATGAGATCTTTAAACGCATCATTACCAAAATTCTAATTAATGTTAACTTCAGCTTACTCTAGTACTTCTATCATTGTCGGGTAAATACTGTATTGTTCTATGATTTTTATGTCGTGCGTGTTGTATCTTGTAGTGAAAGTTGAAGTAGAACAAAGTGAAATTTTATCCTTCTTTATTACTTGGTGAACAATAAAAACGAATCATACATCAGGTGCGCTTTATATGTAACTCAAAACGTATCTGAAATGATACGTGGCTGATGAGAAAAGTTTCCCTTCTGATCTGTTAATGTAATAAAATAGTTCAGAGTAGTGCATAGAAATTTTAAAAGTTATTGCAATAACTCGATTAATTCGAATTTCTCTCTGTTATATTAATTTATATGTACCTTATAATACATAGATGAGTGCATTCCGTTTCACGCATGATGCGCATGATGCAATGTTTCATTTATCCTTATTTACATTCAATAAACAACAATGATGATTAATGCTGATTAATGCATGAAACGGAATAGTTAATATGAAAACATTATTTGATCAATACGAAATTTTGCAAATGTTCTTAATGAGAATAATTTATATAATCACCATCAAACACGAGTAGATTTAACAGAAAGATAATATATACATGTAATTCGATTCAACGAGATTGGCGATTATTCGATCAACAAGAAATTTTGGTTTACTTACCAAAAAATATATTCGATCAACAATAAATTTTAATATATTTAATAAGAATGAATTAATTGTTCTCACTCGGTAATTCTTACAAAAATTCTGACTTATCCGTTCGAATGGACATATTTCCAAAATTAACTTTCCAACAAACATGACTTGACACTGTTATATAATTTTTTTGTCATTATTTAGACGTCTCTGTTTTATAATAACAAGACAGTTTTATAGTGTAAACGAGATATCCTGATATAAATATGATAATTTTGTTACATATCTTTGTTATATATTTAGCACATAACATAATTATGTATGTAAATTAAACATAATTAAGTTACATCCATATACCATTCTATGAATAAGACAAAATACATTTACATCACTAAGCCATAATGGAAAAAGATGTTAATAATACATATTTTGGTTACATTTACAGAAATGTACTGTATACTGTAGTCTATAACAGTTATATCACACAAATTATGAGATTGTACTTTCCTAAAAAATCACTACGATGTAATGTAATTTCATAAATTATACGTCATTTTTTTAGTGTTTGAGCATACTTCATAATATTTGTTTTTGCGGTTTAAGAAAAGTGATTTTGTTATATAAACATATTATATAAAGGACAACAAATGTGATAAATTGATAAGAAAACGATTGATCAATAAGTACTATTGCAAATTATTTCTCACTATTCGCCAATATAACAAATAATCAAAATAATCAGTATCGTTAGCAAATAAAGTCTATCCAAAAGGTAGATTAGGTTCTATATAGTTTGCTTCTATTATGATATCATTTAATTATTTATTAGGTGTTGGAATTAATTCGTAGCGTTTTTTAATGAAAGAATGTTATTTATTTCACATGAGCATTAAAAAATACATTAATGAAAGTACTTCCCATCACTTGTAAAACGCTACGAATTAATTCCAACACCTAATATATGCAATTAAATAATAATATATACGATTGTCGTGTAGATTTTTCCTTTATAGATACAAAAATATAAAGAATAAATATTTAACATGAATAGATCACTATCATTTCCTATCTGAATAAATATCAGCATATTATTTCATTTCCATGTAATCTCTTCAAATATTAATAATATTAAACTCTGTCAGCAGAAATTAATATAAGGAATGATTACAATAGGAGGTATAAATAACGTTGGCAATGACTCGATCACAAGCGTGTGAGTTAGCTGAGCGTAAGTGTATTAGACTCCTATTCTAGAGATCGTAGGTTGAAATTCTGGCGGCGCTGCGATGCGTTTTTTAATAATTAATTGTAGTAAAATAATAAATAGAACAGGAAAAACAAAATAACAAAAAAATTATTTTTTTCGTTAAGATATAACCGTAATCTTTTTATTACATAAAAAAATAGTTTTTATTTAAGAAAATTTGTTGTTAAATACATATAAAAAATATATTTTTTTCATTTAAAAAAAGAGTTGCAAAACTACATAAATTATTTTTTTAATTTTAATAGCAAGAGATAACCAAAAAATTTCTTCAAATCAAAGAAATTGAGCCGATATCAATAAGTAACAAATAAATAACAATTTCATCCATTTGTAATGTCACAGTGACAAATTTTGCATTGTGTAATAATTGTTATATATGCATTTCATCTCAATACATAATTATTATATATCAATCCTGTCGCCGTTTCATATTTAAATCATATCGTTATTATGTAACTACTATAGATAAAATGGGACAACAAATTTGAGAACATTCTCCGCAAAGGTACATAACTTTTGACATCACTGTTACGATTCAAAAAATTAAGATTGATATGAGTTACGAGTTTGAGATGTAATTGTGTTTTACTTTAAAGGTAGTATATAAACACTGCAATGACACCGCGAGATTCGTTATTTATTTTGTCTTGTATTTTGTCTTATATTTTTTTATATATTTATGAGTCATATATTTTGTCATATTTTTCAGTCAGTTAGTTATATATACGATTTCGTCATGTACAAAGTTTCATACAACTTTTGTTAAATAATTTCCGCTTCATAAAAATCTTAGAGTCTGTACGCGACCTTTTAATCGAGTGATAAACATCACCCTTTTTGGGCTCCGATATCTGATGCGAACATTCTGATAGCAGAAAATTTTCATTTGTTATTATTTGTTTGTCTTCGAAATTAAATTAATTTGCTAAAAAGTAAATAATTTATTAATTCAAATAATGTTCTTTTAAATATTCAAAAAATGTCATTAAAATAAACGAAATCGACGCAACAGATAATTCCCATACTCAATATTTCCTCTTCTTAATAGCGCTTTTACGATTTGCTCAACTACTCCAATCTTGAAGATAACTGCCATAGAAGGACAGCCACTTAATGTTCATATTCTAGTACTACTACTTTAATCACCTTACTAATATCTCGTTCCCGTAGAATTCTTCTATAATCTTTTACCCCTTCCTCCGCTACTATATGTGAAATAAATTAAACCAATCGACACAGCTCACCCTGTAATTATATTCTTTAGCGATACCAGAATGTAAATTAGTTTCTAACAATTTTATTAATTTGTAATTCTTAAATTATGTAATTAAGTAACACATTATTAGTAATTTCCTTTATATATTATTAGTAATTCGTTATTAATAATTCGTAACCATATTTGTAACCATATTACTCACTGTACGTTTAGTTTTCATTTAAAAAAAGAGTTGCAAAACTACATAAATTATTTTCTT